CCTTAACTGTACCCCACAAAACTATAATAAAAATACTGATTAATTATTAAAAAAAAAGAACAGGCTAGTCCAGACCCCAGGAAGCTAAGAAGGCGATGCTCCTTCCAAAACAAATGTTCTCCTTCCCATCTTCTGCTCAGCTGAGGAGACCATCCTTCTGGAATCCCACCTTCCTACTGCCCCACCCACAGATCCAGTGGGGCACCCCCCCCCCCATTCTCCCGGCTCCTCTTCTGCCCCAAGGGCCCCCAAATGCCTGGAGGTTGGGAAAACCCTTCCCAATCCAGGGGCCTGGACCTCAGCTCCACCTCACAGCTGTCAGCTGAGTCCATCAGGCCCAAGAATGCCCACTTGCTCTGGTCCTTGCAAAGGTCAGTTTCATCATCAAGGAAGCTATTAGAAAGTATACCTGACAAACTCAGTGCTACTCCCTCTATCCAGTTAGAGCCCTTGATCCCCACAGGCCTGGAAACTACCTTGTAATTCCGATGGTCAGCACTGCACATTATGCTATTTCTGAGAGATGCCCAAGTTCAGGACACTAGAGGAGGTAAAACTAGAGAGGTGCTCTCAAACACCACACTCTCCCAGTTGCTCCGTGGGTCCAGGAACAGAGGGCCATTCATCCTTCTCTATCTCCTGAAGTTCATGCCGACTTGAGAGGTTGGGAAGCCCAAAGTACAGACTCACCTTCCCAGATGCACTTGCCCAGTTCCATTGCAAGACTGAGGCACCCCAATCTGGAGGTTGTCACTGGGTGTGCAACAAAGCCCCTCGGCCTGATCCAGAAGATAACTGCAGCAACTGGTGATGTAAGCCCTGCACGGCAGCTCACACAGGCCGCCCACATCTGAAACCACAAGCGCATCACAGAGCTGCTGTCCCGAGCGGAGCTGAAAGGTGGCTTGTCACCTCTAACTGTGTAAGTCAGGAAATCATGAGATGGAGCAACCTTTCATTCCCCATGACACTGAGGATTTTCAAGCATGGACTTTATTGATTTGTGCCCTGATTGGCAAATGAGCGTCCACTGTGTTCTTCTCAAGAAACACCACTGGGAGGCATTAAGCCAGCCCCAGGAAGCAGGGGCCAGGTTCAGAGCAGCGGCCTCATTCCCTTCTATACTTTTCCAAACTAGAGGTGCAGGCTCTTCCTCCACCAGCTAAGGCAGTCTGTGAACATCAGGGGTGGGGAGGGTGTTACACATAAAAGTAAAGCAGACTTAGTTAAAGAAAAGCCATGCAGAAGAAAGTCTTTTAAACAGGGTCGCCTTTCACCTTACCCCAGAGGTACCCTCTGTGAGTAGTTAGGTGCAAGTCCCTGCAGATGCGTTTTATGCTCAAGCAAATGCATGTTTTTAATAGACGAGTGCTGTGCTGTCAGCTTTGCCTTCTTGTTCTTCTGGCTATTTGCAACATCTTTCTAGGTCAGCACATAAAAACCTTCCTCGTGCCTTTAATGGTGGTAGATGCCACCATTTAATATCCCTGTAATGGACATTGGAATTGTTAATATCCCTGTAATGGACACTGAAATTGCTATGTTATTTCATTCCTTTAGAGATGTGGGTCTCCCTCTGTCACCCAGACTGGAATGCAGCGGCACAATCATAGCTCACTGCAACCCTCCCCTCCTGAGTTCAAGTTATCCTCCCACCTCAGTAGCTGAGACTACAGGCACACGCCAACACACTCAGCTATTTTTTTTTTTTTTTTTTTTTTTGTAGAGATGGAGTCTCACTATGTCACCCAGGCTAGCTTTGAACGTCTGGACTCAAGCAATCCTCCCTCCTTGGCTTCCAAAAGTGCTAGGATTCTGGTCATGAGCCTGGCCTGTATATGCTATCTCAAGTGAAGGTAGTGAACAATTCTGGGCATGGATCTTTAACCAACAGAATTAGTACTACCGTAGAAAAAATTGCTAGGGGTAGAACTGCGTGTTCTCAGAGTTATCATTTTAAAACATTGATAGGCACTGCCAAGTGACCCTTCAAAATGTTGCATCAACTTCTGCCCTCACCAATAATGTAAGAATACCTGCAACCTTCACAAGCAGAAAACATTATCGGTCTTTTTAATCTTTGCCAATATGATAGGCAAGGATATTTCAGTGTTGTTTTAACTTATACTTCATTAGTCAAGGTAAGCATTTTTTCAAATATTTATTGACTGTTCTTTGGTGTCACAAATAAGGTCATAGTTCAGTGTGTGTATGTGTATGCATATGTCTATGCATATGGGAGTTTTAGTGCATACAAATGTATGTGAGCATGCATTGCACACATATGTTCTTTTGTGTATAGCATGTACCATAATATCTGGGTAAGATGTGGGTAAGACTGCAGCTCTCTAGAGTCTGACAATACCAGGGACCTTGAAGAGATGGAATCAAAGGCTCAAACCCATGAAACACCTTAGCAACGACCAAGGACATATCACATTTCTTTCTAATATTTAAATTTTGATTTGCTGGGCCCCCATCTCATCTACTACAAGCATGTACTATTAATGTCACTGGAGCTATTCCTGATCTAGTGTCCTCACCAAGAAAGATTCTTTTTTTTTCTGTCAGAGTCCCTTCCACCTTTTTGTAGCTGGAATTTACTAACTTAGGACCAGCAGATCACACCACCCATTCCTTGACCTCAGAAGCAGAGATCACAAGGGCTGGATAGGGGGAAAGGAAGTCCTAGAAAGAAAAAAGTCAGAGAGGAGATCCCCAAATTCTGCATCTAAACTCTACCCAAATTTCTGGATGACCCCTGAACTATACATTTGCAGGTCAACTACAAGCAGACCAGCTAGGGTTAAACAAACTGAACAGAAGTTTCAGCTGCTGTCCACTCCAGGACACAGAATTGGCAGCCTGCTAAAACAACAAGCAAAATTAAGATAGAAAAAAAATAAATCAACACTCTTCAGAGAAACACAACAGAATCCATAAGCTCAACATTCACAGTTTTCGAGGTAAATACAAAATTATTAGACACATGAAGAAACAAAAAGATGTGAACCATACTTAAGAGGAGAGAAAATCAATGAACACTGGCTCCCAGGACTAAGTTAGTAAAAATATCAAAGGTTTAAAAGTAGTTAATCTAGCTATGCTTAAAGATATAAAGGAGGGCTGGGCACAGTGGCTCACACCTGTAATCTCAGCACTTAGGGAGGCCAAGGTGGGAGGATTGAGACCAGACTCATCAACATAGTGAGACACCATCTCTAAAAAAAATTTTTTTTTTTTTGAGTTGGAGTCTCACTCTGTCACCCAGACTGGAGTGCGGTGGCCGCGGCCGGCCACCACAGCCATGACCTGCTGGGCTCCGGCCATCCTTCCGCCGCAGCCTTCCAAGTAGCTGGAATTACAGGCACGAAAATTTTTTTTAATTAGCTGGGCATGGTCGCATACACCTGTAATTCCAGCCACTCAGAAGGCTAAGGCAGGAGGATTACTTGAGCCCAAGAGGTTGAGGCTGTACTGAGTTATGATCACACACTGCACTCTAGCCTGGGTAACAGAGTAAGATTCTGTCTCTTAAAATATATCACCGGGCAATCCCCTCGGGTTCCCTCCCACTGTGGAAGCTTTTCTGTCCTCTCAATAAATTCTGCTTTCTAAAAATAAAGTAAAATAAATTGCCAGGCACAGTGGCTTATGCCAGTAATCCCAGCATTTTGAGAGACTGAGGCAGGAGGATTACTTGAGTCCACAAGTTCGAGATCTGCCTGGACAACATAGTGAGATATAATCTCTACAAAATATTTAAAAATTAGCTGGGTATAGTGGAGCTCATTTGTAGTCCTAGATATTTGAAAGGCTGAGATGAAAGGATCACCTAAGCCCAAATGGTCAAGGAAGCAGTGAGCTGTGATTGTACCACAGCACTCCAGCCTGACTGACAGAGTAAGATTCCCTACTCAAAAAAATCTTTATCTGTCTACCTACTTACCTAACTACCTACCTATTGTCCCAATGAATACACAACAAATCTCAGAAGAGAAATTGAAACTATTTTTAAAGTGAAAAAATATCTCTTAATTGAAATAACCATAAGGAATCCTCCCGTGAAGAAAGGCGATTGAGATTTGGTTGAGTTGACAGAGGAAATTACATCCAAAAGCACACACAGCAGAAAATGCCTGTGGAAGTGGGCTCAGTGCCCTCCTTGGGCAATAGGAGGGGGCAGGATGGAGACCTGGACACTCATCAGGAATAGTTACAGTCCTAAGTACAGAGCAGCCAAGCAGGTCAGCTTGTTCCTCCATAACTGTGCTCGCGTCAGATAGCGCCAGTGGAGGAATCTGCCTACAAGCTGGTTACTCAGACTAGGGAAGAAAGCCAATGCCTCTGTGTCTATAAAACACATGGACACCCCACTCCTCTCCCATAATAAATGATAAATAGAAAAACAGCATCCATAAACAAGTGGGAGAACATCAAACAAACTCAAAAAGTCCACAGCCAGGAATCACCAAATACCTGTGGAAAACCAACACCATGAAAGACAGACACAGTCAGGCTCGGTGGCTCAGCCTGTAATCCCGCGCCTTTGAGAGGCTGAGGTGAGTGGATTGCCTGAGCCTGCAGGTTCGAGACCCACCTGGGCAACTTGACGAGACCTCATCTCTACAATAAATCAAAGATTAGCCGGGCATGGTAGCGCACGCCTGTAGTTCCAGCTACTTGGAAGGCTGAGGTGGAAGGATTGCTGGAGCCCAGCAGGTCGAGACTGTGGTGGCCGGGAGCGGCCACTGCACTCCAGTCTGGGCAACAGAGTGAGACTCCAACTCAAAAAAAAGAAAAAAACAAGAAATAAAAACAGACACTAAATAATTAAATACACTAACAGTCAGACGTGTAAGGATTTTTTAAATTTTATTTTATTTTAAATATGTGGGGTACATTTCAAGAAGGATTTTTTTTTTTCCCCCAAAGCGCAGGATTACAGGCTGAGCCATCCAGCCCGGCAAGAAGGATTTTTTTACATGAATTGTCAAAGCCACATGAGATAGAACAGAGGTCAGCAAACTATGCAGACCAAACCCAGCCAACAGTTTTGAAAACCTGTGAGCTAAAACTGGTTTATACATTTATATGGGCCCAGCACACTTTTAAATGGTTGGAAATAAATTTTTATGAATTGTGTGACATATGAAAATAACATAAAGTTTTCATTTCAGTGTCCCTAGAATTGTCTTTTACAAAATGTTTTTACTCTGGTAAAATACACATAACCTAGCAACTTTTTTTTTTTTTTTTTGAGTCAGAATCTCACTCTGTGGCCCAGGCTGAAGGGCAATGGCATGCTCACAGCCACCACAGCCTCGACCTGCTGGACTCAGGTGATCCTTCCGCCTCAGCCTTCCAAGTAGCTGGAACTACAGGCATGTGCCACCATGCCCAGCTAATTTTTCTTGATTTATTGTAGAGATGAGGTCTTGCCAGGTTGCCCAGGCGGGTCTCGAACTCATGGGCTCAGGCAATCCTCTCAACTCAGTTTCCCAAAGTGCTGGGATTATAGGCGTGAGCCATCACACCCAGCCCATCTTAACCATTTTTAAGCGTAAATTCAGTGGCATTAATACATTCTGTCGTTGTGCAACCATCACCACTATCTTTTCATCTTGCAAAACGAACACCCTATACTGACTAAACAATAACTCCTCATTCTCCCCTCAGCCTATCCACTACCTGGCAATCCTGATTCTTCTTTCTGTC